ACCAAGTTGCCTGGGCTGGTCTCGAACCCCTGAGCTCAGGCAATCCTCTCACCTTGGCCTCCCCAAGTGCTGGGATTACAGGCTGAGCCACCATGCCCAGTCTCTTTCTTTTTCAATCCATCAGCCCGTTCGACAATCTATCTGCCACCCATTCATCCATCCATCACTTACCAGCGATTTCCATCCGCCCATGGACCCTTCCATCCACCCGCCCCCTCATCCATGCGTCCACCCATCATCCGTTCGTCCATCCACTTGCCCGTCCATCCATCCATGCGTCCATGCATCAAGACGTTTATTCACCCATCTGTCCATCCATCCACCTATTCATCCACCCACCCACCCATCCATCCAGTCACCCATCCACCTACCCATCCGTCCACCCACCTGCCCATCCATCCACCCATCCGTCCACCCACCTGCTCAGCCATCCATCCCGCATCCACTTGCCCATGCTTCCGTTCATCTTTCCATCCACCCACTCATCCGCCCGCCCGCCTGTCCACGCATCCCTCCATCCATTTGCTCCTCCACCCGTCCATCCGTGCATCCTTGCATCTGTTCATCCATCTGTCCGCCCACCCACCTGTCCATCCATCCCTCCGCCCACCCGCCCATCCATCATCCACCCGCTCATCCCTTCGCCCATCCATCCGTCCACCCACCCACCAATTTATCCATGCATCAAATGCTCATTCATTCACCCGTCCACCCACCCACCTCACATTCGACTATGCGTCCATCTCAACATTTACTCGTCATCCAAATACTTACCCCACTACTCACTCGCCCACCCTCTAAGCATCTACCCTCCTTCCAGCCTTCCAAGCATTTGTCCTGGAATCCATGCCCCGCCCCCCGCCCATCCCGCCTGACATCCATGCATCCAGCCACTCTCCATCCATCCACACAAGTATCCGCCAGCTAGTCCTTCCGATGACCTACCCGCCATCCTCCCCTCCCTTATAACTCCACGCACCTACCCAAGCCATCCAGCCCTGCCCCCGGGCAAACATGCCCTGCGCTGCCTTTCTGGACAGGCCTTGAGGTCTCCCTGGCCCAGCCTGGCCCTCCCAGCCAGCCCGGTCACCCCGCCTGGCTCACTTGCTGTCCAGCAGGTCCATGATGGGCTGCAGCACATTGTCAGCATCCTGGGCCACGCTGCTGCAGGCGCTGGCTGGCACATTGCCCGTGCCCTTCACTTGGCTGAGGATGTCACCCATCTGCTTGACGCACTCTTCGATGTGTGGCTGGAAGCTGGGCACAGAGGACGGGCTTAGGCTGGCTCTCCTGGCCTCCTGAGGACGGTCCAGGGAAGGCCCTGGATGCCGACTGTGGAGCTCAATCGCAGCACCAGGGAGCAACATTGCATAACTGAGCCAGGCAGGAACTGTGACAGATCTGGGCTGGGACATTTCCTTCTACAATCCCACTTGGGTCCTTATAATAAAATCGTCCCCACCTGACAGATGAGTCAACCAAGAATCAGAGAGGCCAGATGGTTCACCCAAAGCCTCACAGCTAGTAATCAGTGAATCCAGGAATTTATTTATTTTTTTATTTTAATTTTTTTTTAGTAGAGTCTCACTCTGTCACCCAGACTGGAGTGCAGTGGCCGCTCCCGGCCACCACAGCCTCGACCTGCTGGGCGCCGGCGATCCTTCCGCCTCAGCCTTCCGAGTAGCTGGAACTACAGGCGCGCGCTACCACGCCCGGCTGATTTTTTATTTTATTGTAGAGATGAGGTCTCACCAAGTTGCCCAGGCGGGTCTCGAACCCGTGGGCTCAGGCAATCCACTCACCTCAGCCTCCCAAAGTGCTGAGATTACAGGCTGAGCCACCGAGCCCGGCTGAATCCAGGAATTTTAAAAAATTTCTAGAGACAGGGTCTTGCTCTGCCACCCAGGGTGGAGTGCAGTGGTGCCATCATAGCTGGCCGCAGCCTCAACCTCCTGGGCTCAAGGAATCCTCCCACCTCAGTCTCCCAAGCTGCTGGGACTATAGGCATCACCCTGTCAGGCTAATTTTTAAAATTTTTTTTGTAGAGGTGGGGTCTTGCTATGTTGCCCAGGATGGTCTGAAACTCCTGGCCTCAAGCGATCTTCCTGTCTCAGTCTCCCAAAGCACTGGGATTACAGGTGTGAGCCACCACGTGCAGCCTGAAGCCAGGATCTGAACTCAGCCTCATCTAACTCTGAGCCTGAAGTCTTCCCCTTATACCTGCTGAGTCTCCAGACGCCCAGGGCCCCAGGTCTGGGGGCTGTCCCCTCCCACCAGCCCTCACCCCGAGATGCCCCACCTGGTAGCAAACACCCGGCTGAGCTCGTCCAGGACGTTATTGAGTTTCACCTGAAGCTCCTTCAAGATGTCACTGGCTTCCGCGTCCAGCTGGGAAGGGAAGGGAAGGGAGGCCATGTTCACTGAGCATCCACATGGACAGGGCATTTTCTCATCTGACCCAGGAAGGGCCCCGAGGAACTGGAGGGGAAACTGAGGCATGGGTGGCTAATCCGTGAGCTAATCCGTGCTCTGCCCTTCGGTGTCCCAGCTTGGGGACCTGCAGGGACGCAGCAGGGGGTACACACACACACACACACACACACACACACACACACACACACCACCCCCCCCCCCCCCGTGCTCTCCTCACCTCCTTCCCACCCATGGCCTCGAACATCTTCTCCAACTGAACTCGCAGCTGCTGCGTGTTGTTCATGAGGATGCAGGGCTGTGGGAGGGCGGGGAGAGTCAGTCTCGGGACCTCCCAGCCGCTCCCCACCGGGGGCCTCAGGTGCCCTCAGGGGCTGGGAGACGCTGGGGCTCCCCAGGCACCCTGAGAAGCGGAGGCAGCCTTGGGCTCGGCTCCAGGGAGTCTCAGGCGGGGCTATCTCTGGAGATGGGGTTGGGAGGGAAGACCCAGGGGACTCCCCTGGCCCTGTGCCTCTGGGCTGGGGACACGGAAGGTGGCGGGGGCCCTTGTCACACCACCCTTTTCTCCTGCGTGGACCCACAGCGGTGCAGACTCAGAGTCACCCCGAGGCTTCACGTGCCACCACCACACACAGACACAGGGAAGCTGTGGGCCTCAGCTTGGAGGTCACAGTGAGCGCTGGGGACACACACAGCCAGACATCACACCGAGACACACACGCCACACACTCAACACAGCCAGACAGAACAGGGAGAGGCACATTCCCAGATGTGCACAGCTAGGCTCCCATGTGCACACACCCTCGCAGTATACCCGTCCACACAGCTGCACACCCAGAACACGCACTCGGATCCCGAACGCCCAGACACCCACCATGGACACACTCTGACCACACACACCACACACCGCCGTGACCCCATGAGACCCCACATGTGTGTCCGGTGTCAGGGCCCTGGACAAGCAGGGCCCGGGGATGCTGGAGGGGCCGAAGGGGACAGGACGGGGCCTGGCAGGTCACCACTTTCTCCTTCTCCTTGGAGCAGTAGGAGGCGAAGTCCTTGGAAACGATGTCCGCATACTGCAGGAGCACGTTGCTGATGGTCTGTGGGGATGTGGGGGTGAGGGGGGCTGGCCAGGCGGGCCCGGCTGCCCGGTCCCCCCAAGAGCCACCAGTGACATCAGGGAGGAGCCCGAACCCTTTTGGTGCCCGAGATGGACGGACCGCGTGAGTCTGATGGAATTACTGGATGGACGACTGGCCTGGGCCAGTTCTCCACCAGGGTGACCACAAGACCCGGGAGATGCTGCCGGGCAGAGATGACTGTCTTGGTGGACTCAGCTCTTTTCTTTTCTTTTTTTTTTTTTT